AAAATCAATAAAATGTTCGATTTATTTTTATTTTAAATAAAAATATTACACGGACTTTTTATCAGTGTAACTTTTGTTATAAACGATTCGATCATATTATACAAGGTGTCTACTTTCAAAAAGGGATTTTTTTGATTTTTGTTTCCCAATGACGGTGACGACGAGGCATGTCACGATGCATGTGTACGCGATTGAAAGATCTCAGAGAGATGAAGTTGCATGAGCATGTTCTCTTTCTCCCTTATCCCCTCTCCTCCCCACCCTCCCCTCCCACGCCACTCTCCACCCCATATAAGCACAAACTTAGATAATAAATAAAACTAATAAAAGTGAAAAGGAGTAGAATTTTTAACGGGAAGGGTGGGGGGGGAGGGAGGGAAGGAGAGGTTAAAGGAAGAAGGAAAAATAAAAAAAGAAAAGAACTTTTACTTAACGTTTCGATCCAATTGTTCAAGATTTCTCTTCATTTCCGTGCATTATACACAGATTATATATCTAACGTAGCAATTTAATTTAATGAGAAATGGTCCTTAATGACGTCATTAAAATTGACGGTATAATGATACACACGTGGCCATTCAATCGAACGATCATACGTGTAAATGACCAGCGAGAGTACGTTTCGATGTAACGTAAGAATCGTTTAAATGCGCTGCACACACACATTCGAAAGTAGAAAAAAAACCTTTGCCTTTCTAAAAAAGAAAAAAAAAGAGAAGAAGAAATGAAAATATAAAAATGAAAACGGGAGAAAATATTCTATAGGAAAGCGAGGAGGTGTGTGTGTGTGTGTGTGTGTGTGTGTGTGTGTGTGTGTGTAAATCGAAAAGGTACATCCGGGCTAAACGTAAACCGTGAACAAGGTGGACAAAACGAAAAGTTCAGTGAATATATATAAGTATACTATATATATGTGTCTATGTGTGTGTGTGTATATATATATATATATACATAAACAAAGAAGAAAAGAAAAAGCAAAGGATAGAGTAAAAAAAATTGAAAAAATGAAAGATAGAAAAAGATAGATAGAGAGAGAGAGAGAGAGAGAGAGAGAGAGAGAGAGAGAACTTATACAAGGTGCGTCATTAAACTCGATCATAAAAATGAATCATTCTGCTAAACATAAGAAACAATTTATCTTATCTTTCAAGGAAAGAAAGAAAGAAAAGAGAAAACAAATACTTTTCTTATCCTTTCGAAGTTTCTACTCGTTCTTTTCTTTTTTCTTTCTCTTTTTTCAAGGTCATACTTATTTCCTTCGAAGTATCTTTCTTAAGGGTAACGATACAATCGAAAAAGTATACGTTCCGAAGTAAGCAAGTTTAAATGGCACACCCCATGTATAAGGATAGCCGGAAAGAAAGTTTTAATTAGCGAGTTTATCCATTTATTTGCATGCCGTTGAAAGGAACAGAAGCATCCTCCTCTATCTGTCTGTGGAGAAATAGGAGGAGAAGGAAGAGAGTCTCGTCTTTTCTCTTTTCGAAGAGAGAGAGAGAGAGAGAGAGAGAGAGGGAAAGAGAGAGAGAATAAGAGATAAAAATTACGAAATGAAAAATACGAAATACGAAAAAAAGAAAAAAAAGAAAAAGATGAAAAATTAAAGTAAAAGCAACCTAAAAATAAAAAGAAAGAGAGAGAGAGAGAGAGAGAAAAAGAGAGAGAAGAAACGATGATACAGAATTGCAATGGTGGATTGCGAGAAGGAGAAAGAGAAGAGAAGTTGGGGGTGGAGGGAGGAGAGGCACGTAAGTTTGCCGAAGGGAGAGTTGAAGTGGCGGAAAGAGAGAAAGGAAGGATATGGAGGAGGAGGAGAAAGGTGGAAGAGAAGGGAAGAGTGTGTGGGAGTATGGGAAGGGTGGGGGGGTAGGTTTGAAGAAGGAGAAAGAGGGAGGGAGATGGAGGAACGATGGAGGGAAATAAACGAGGTGTGCTAGGTAGACTGGACCGAGCCTCCTGATCTCGACAATGGCCGACAATAGAACGCCGACTATGGTTTTGCATATGAAAGAGGAACGAGAATGGAGCCCAGCCAAAGATAGATGCACGCTTCGCGATATTATATCTGACTCTTCTCTTCGCTTCTCACCACCCTTCATCCTACTTCTCCTTTAACAACCCTCTCTCTTACTCTTTCTCTCACATACACACACACACACACACATACACGCATACACACATACACACATACATACTCTCTGTGTGAGTCCTTCCGTTTATCCATCGCCTCTCTTACCGACGAAGGGCGGAACGATCGTAAGTCGAAAATATCCGGGAGGGAAGACCCTTCAAGAAGAGAGGATAACCTCCTCGAGATTCTTTATCTCTTTTAACGAGCCTCTTCTTCTTTCGCACTTGACTCTTCCTCTCCTTCCATCCTCCCCTCTCTCTCTCTCTCTCTCTCTCTCTCTGTCCCTCTCTCTCTCTCTCTGTCCCTCTCTCTCTCTCTATCTTTTTCTCTGTCTTTCTATTTCTCTAAATATTCGTGCAATATTGATAATTGTAAGAGGAAAGAGAATTGATTTCAATATATTCGTAATATTGTTTTCTCCTTTCTATTCGAGTAATTTAATAAAAAAAAAAATAAATAAATAAATAAAAAAAGAGATAAGGAAAAAAAAATATACAATCGAATTTTTGTATATATATATATATATATATATATCTCTTTAAGTTATAGTTATAGTTATCTATTATCATTTTGTTCTCACTTAGTTGATATTTTTCTATAAAGGCATACATGCATAAAGAAAGAAAGAGAGAGAGAGAGAGAGAGAGAGAGGGAGAAATTCACATATAAAGCCTTTGTAATATTCACGGTGTCACGTTTCCGTTCTCGATACATTTACCAACACAATAGACGTACCTTCGTCCTTTCCCCATAATCAACTCGATCGATGTAGTATCGATAGAACTAGACACCCTTTCGTTCCGTCGTTCCGTCGTTCATTCGTTCGTTCATTCCGTCGTTCCTTCGTCTCGTCCGAAGGAACTTTGTATAATCGAGGAAACCCTAGCGATTTTGACGAAAATGAGAGGAGAGAAGAGAAGAGAATATGAGAAGATACAAGTTCGAAGTATATAGCTTTTAGTAAACGGGGGAGGAAGTTGATGTTGAAGCACTCATCTCACCTTCTCCGTCATCAAGAGTTTCCACAAAATTACTAGAACCTCATACGAGTATGTAACTTAAAGTAGCTTGTATATACGTACGTACATCTTGTTACAATATTGAAAAAAAAAAAAAAAAAAAAAAGATCTGATCTTTCGAATTGTTTAGATTATCTATAAATGTTTTTATCTTTTCTTCGTCTTCTTATCTTCTTATTTAAAGGAGTGAGAGAGAGAGAGAGAGAGAGAGAGAACAAAAAAAAAGAAAGAAAGAAATAAGATATAAGGTTGACGAAGCGAAACGTCGGTGCAAAATATTCGGCATCCGGCCACGTAGTTATTTTTTTTTTTTTTTTTTTTTTTTTTTCTTGTAATGCAGGAACGAAAGATAAAAAGAGGTCTTGATAGGTGAGGAGATAGAGAGAAAGAGAGAGAGAGAGAGAGTGAGAGAGAAAGAGAGGGAACGGAGGGGAGTAGAGGGCTTGGGTTGAGTAGAGAGGAAAAAAAGAAGAAGGAGGAAGAGGAGGAGAAGGAGAAAAAAAGGAGGAAAAAAGGGGGAGGGAGGGAGAACGTGAGCTTAGCATACTCCGCATAATGTATTATAAGTGGAGGCGCACTCGCAGGGCCATCACTACCAAACACTCAAGGCCCTCCTCCTTCTCTCTTCTCTTCTCTTCTTTTCTCTTCTTCCTTTTCTTCCTCCTTCTCCTCCTCCTCCTCCTTCTGCTTCTGCTTCTCCTCTCTTCTTTCCTCTTTCCGTTCTATTCCTTTCTCTTTTTATTCTTTGCCAGGGATCTTCGGTTAAGGCTTTTCTACCTTCCGTACCTCTCTCTCTCTCTTTCTCTATCTGTCTGTCTGTCTCTCTCTCTCTCTCTCTCTCTCTCTCTCTCCCTCTCTCTATCTCTATCTCTCTCTATCTCTCTATACACTCCACTTTCGAGTTATCGATAAGAACCGCAGACCTCTTTTGTCGGTTGATAGATAGCCTTTCAGAACGACGCGAGGTCAGATACTCGACATTGCCGGGGAGTTCAATTTCGTGCCAATAATATCTATGCGACGCGAAAGAGCATAGGGGGGGGGGGGGGTAGGAGGCGAGGGGGAGGTGTCGAGATAGTTTGGAATGAGGAGGAGGTGGTGGTGCATGAACGCGGGTTAAGGGACGAAGGGGACAAGACCAGGAGGATAGAGACTAGGGATTGAGTACGGAAAGGGAAAAAAGTTAAGGTGGGGATTGATTTTTACGCGATCCCTTATCGGCAAAATAACGGGGGGTGGGTGGGGGGGAGAAAAAAGAAAGAAAGAAAAAAAAAACAGAGTAACACTCATCTCTTCTCGTTTTATCGTCTATTGTATAATAAATCGAATTATATTCAAAGGATTTTAACGATCGATGGGGGATCTCTACGATCGATGGGATCGAGATCGTTGGTATGTGTATATATATATATATATCGAGGGAAATTTTTAATACATATCTTTTTTTCTTCATTGATTTTCTTTTTGTTTTCTTTTTTTTTTTTTTTCTTTTTTTTTCTCTCTATATTTTTTAATCTAGCTTTCTTTCTTTTCTCTAAGTACAAAGGGAATTGAAGAGAGATCTCCTCGTCAAAATTTATTTATTAGATATAAGGGGACAGGGAGTGGGGTGGTGGGGTGGGGAGCGGGAAAGAAATGTCTCTCTTTTTTTATCTTTTTTTTTATCTTTTATTATTATTATTATTATTATTATTATTATTATTATTATTATTATTATTATTATTATTATTATTATTATTGTTATTATTATTATTATTTCTCTCGAATTGACGATTTTTCGAGAATCTAATTTGTTTTGATCTTGAAACGCTAAGAAAAGGGATTACTGAGAAACGGGTTTGTGAGGTCAGGTAGCGTGGATCAAGGCGGACACCAAGGCGATCTTAGCGATTCACGAACACGTCATCACTAATAACGCTCGTCTGTCGGTGACGCACAATGATCAGAACACCTGGACGTTGAATATACGGGGAGCTAGGAAGGAGGATGGAGGTGTTTATATGTGCCAAGTTAACACGAATCCAATGAAGAGTCAGGTGAGCTAGAATCGATAGAATCTTTTCTTTACTATCACCTATCTAATGCTTCTCTATTTTCTTTTTTACTTCTCTTTTTTTTTCACCTTTTCATTTTTCTTTTCTTTTTCTTTCTTTCTTTTTTTTTTTTTTTTTTTTTTTTTTTTCTTTAATATATATTCTTCTCCCTTTCATTCGAGCTTAATCAATTCCCTCTCGGTTGATTAATTAACGTAGGAACGAACGTAATTAAGGCTGCAGGTAGATCGTAAGTAAATGATGATCAATTCCTCGCACAAATTACAGAGCGCCTTCCTCGAAGTGGTAATACCACCGGACATCATATCCGAGGAAACGTCCAACGATTTAATGGTTCCGGAAGGTAGTTCGGCTAAGCTGGTATGTAAGGCTAGGGGATATCCGAAACCAGACATCGTTTGGAAACGAGAGGATGGCTCGGAGATCATATCTCGTGCTGGCTTGTCTGGCGGCAAAACGAAAAGTAAGGATAGCGAAAGAAAAAAAAGAGAAAAAAAAGAGAAAAGAAAAAAAAAAGAAAAGAAGATAAAAAGGAGATAATCGATTTTTCCTTGAATTTTGATTTCTTTTCCTCTCTCTCTCTCTCTCTCTCTCTCTCTCTCTCTCTTTTTTTTCTTTTTTCCTTTTTTTTTTTCTTTCTCTAATTATAATATAACGTATTTATAATTTCATTATAAATACGAACGACTTATCATTTATTTTCAACGTTAACTTTTCCATGAATATATTATTTTAACGTATGTAATACAAATTATTAATCATAATTATTTAAATCATAGGATATATATTTTTTATAATATTCGTAATATACAAAACGATCATTTCCTTGATGAATTTATTTCTTATAGCACTAACAGCGGAAGGTGAGCATCTAGTTTTATCTAAAGTAACTAGAGGCGAGATGGGAGCATATCTTTGCATCGCCAGTAACGGAGTACCGCCATCGGTTAGCAAAAGAATAATGTTGCACGTAAATTGTAAGTATTATTATTATTATGATTATTATTATTATTATTATTATTATTATTATTATTATTTTAGAAATGATCGATAAGTTTAAGTTGATTTCTAATTATTCTTTTATCGATTAGGAAATTTAATCAGAAGGTAATTAGTAAGAGAGCTTTCGATATTTCTCGACGATTTCTCTCACTTTATCATTTAACTCTATAAATATATATCTACACACGCACACGCACACACACATCTCTCTCTCTCCCTCTCTCTCTCCCTCTCTCTCTTACTCTCTCTCTCTCTCTCTCTCTCTCTCTCACTTATAGTTCCAGATCATAACAGATACTCCAGTAATTCCATCGAAATGGGTTAATTGTCTGCAAATACACTCAGCACTGAGAATTTGATCTATTGATGTATAATCCACGTAGAACTCGCGCTTTGAGATATTCCGTACAAGCTGGTTGTTTCCTAATCCTAGGAATACTATTAATCATCTATTCAAGATAGTACGTTGTTTATCCAGATCTCTCGACTCGACGGCGTATTCGCCTTTTATCGTATACCATTAATCCTATCATTTCACATTGTCCTCTTCGTTTCTCTTTATCTCTCTCTCCCACTCTCTCTCTCTCTCTCTCTCTCTCTCTCTCTCTCTCTCTCTCTCTCTCTCTCTCTCTCTCTATCTCTCTCTTTCTCTCTCTATCTTTCTCTTAGTCTCTGGGGTAATATCGAAATTGAGAGAATGCAACGGAATGGAAAAGGAAAAAAAGAAAAGAAGAAAATAGAAAAGGAAAAATATTTGGTTGGTAATTGTCGAGGGTTAAAACTCTCATTCAGTCGTTCTCTACGATAGAACTGTCCTTTTATCCTTGTCCAACAACTATATATAAACATATATATATATATATATATATATATATATATATATATGTATGTATATATAGTAAGAAAAAAAAAAGACAAAAGTGGAAACGAAGCAATGGAAGAATAAAAAGTACCGGCAACAGCAATGGTAACGGTCCTGCTATCGCCCTGATACGGCCATCGTCTTCTTCTTTGCATAATTTCTCTCTGTGGAGAAAGAAGCGAGAAGGCGCTGGGGATTCGCAAAGGGATAAGTAAAACAAGAAAGAAAGAAAGAAAGAAAAGAAGGAATGAATGAAAAAAAGAAAGCGAGACAGAGAGAGACAGAGAGAGAGAGAGATAGAGAGAGAGGGAGAGGAGATACGGTATGAGAAAAGATTCAAAGTAAAATACACCTTAAATGAGATAGAAAGAGAGAGAGAGAGAGAGAGAGAGAGAGAGAGAAAGTGAGAGAGGCCGTTTCGTCGCTTACCATAAGGAAAAGAAAGAAAAGAGAGTAAAAAAAAAAAGAAAAAAAAAAGAAAAAAAAAAGAAAAAAAAAAGAAAGAAAAGATAGAAACTTAGAAGACTGCAATAGCCGGCCATCGTTCGAGTTCGAGAGAGAGAACGAGATAGAGATAGAGATGGAAGAAGAAAGATAATAAAATTACACTCTCAGGACGATATACCAAGGCACTGTTTCCTCGGTTTTAAGGAAAAGCGAAAAGGAAAAGTCGGAAAATAGGGGCGGGAGGGTGGGGCGAAGAGGGAGACCAAGGGGGAAGTCAGGTTGATACGGTTTTAAGGATCAAGTCCGAGGCCGTTGGATCCTTCTACTCCCTTCTTTCCTTTCACCATCCCTTCTTTCACTCTAGGTCGAAAATTTCAAAGGGATGGGACGATGGTGAGTTAAGCCGTGGTTACGACCGACCAACACCGCGTCCGTTCATCCGTACGTTGGTACGTCAGTAGTCCGTTCGTTCGTTCGTGTCTTAGATCCAACCCAAAGAGGTAATTCTTATCCCGGAAATTGGATGTACTTCTAACGCCCACGAATCTTGCACCTGCACTACCATGCTCTTCTCTACCTCCTCTTCCTCCTCCTCCTCCTCCTCCTCCTCCTCTTCCTACACCTTTTCCCTCTTCCCTCTTCCTCCTTCCTCTTCCACTTCCACTCAACTCTCCATTCCTATCCACTATACTCGGATAAGAGATCGTCTAAGGATAATCGAATTTCATTGAATACGTTAAGCTAACTTGCTTTCGTCCACATCATGTATCTCGTATCTTCGAGATGTTCGTAACATGTTATTGCCATTGATAATAATTAAACAATGATATAGTCTTTGTCAAGTGCGTGTGTGTGTGTATGTATGACTGAGAGAGGGAGAGAGAGAGAGAACGATGAAGATATTTTACAATAAAAAGATAAAATTTGATTGATTATTTTCAAGATAAATTTCTATTGTCTTCTTCTTTCTTTTCTTTCTTTTGTAATGATTAAAGATATACTATACATAGAATTTGTTTTATTTATTCGAAGTCAATGTATGATTTTTTTTTTTTTTTTTTTTTTTTTTTTTTTTTTTTTTTTTTTTTTTTTTTTTTTTTTTATAGCTATTTCTCAATAATGCAATTATTTGTAGAATTTAACGTACAAGCTTTTTTAATCATTTTTATATATCGATAAGGAAGAAAGTCGTGACAACGACTTATAGCCAATAGTAAGTGATAGTTTAAAGAAAGATCAAAGTCAGTCTTATTGATATAAGTGTGGAAGGAAGACAGAGAAGAGAGAGAGAGAGAGAGAGAGAGAAGTAGTACTTGTCCTTTACTTTGATAAAATCCTCCTTTCGTTGTAGTTCACGTTGTTCTAGAATACGGAGTTTAGTTAAGTATATATGTAGAAGCGATCATACGATCGGTTTGTTCGATCTTTTCTTGATCCATAGAACTATCAAGAAGGACTGTTACAATGTCTCTTAATTCCTACTATGTCTTTCTATTTCTCTTTCTCTCTCTCTCTCTCTCTCTCTCTCTCTCTCTCTCTCTCTATCTCTCATTTGATTTATTTTAGAACTTATATCGTGCAAATATATATATGCAAGTAGGTAAGAAACAATCTTCAATGACATCGTCCAGAAGTAATGATATTATTAACAAAACTTTTTTTCTTCTCTTGCTTTTTTTTTTTCTTTTTTGTTTTTTTCCTTCCTTTTTACACGTCAAACGCAAACAGACAAATAAATTTTTGCACGTTATCTCATATATAATCTAACGAGAAACGTTGATTAATAATCTGATCTGTAAATATATATATATATATATCTTTTGTTTTCTTAAATCGAATATATAAAATTTGACGTTTGAATTTGAATAGGTATTATCCGATGTGATCGACTTTGTCATCGTTCCACTCGAAACCATCTATATAATATTTAAACGTAAATATAATTCATGATTTCTCTCCCTCGATGATTTATGGTTTTATGTACACGTGACAGATCCAATATTATTATGTACATAAACAAAGAGGAATTTATCTATTTATCTCTCTGTCTCTCTCTCTCTCTCTCTCTCTCTCCATCTCTCTTTATTTTCTTACACCATAGAATATCAAATCGAATACGCACATAAATTCATCTTTGGACGTAGGTTGGTTTATCGTCGGTTGGTGGTAACCAAAACGAAAAGAGGATCGCGAGCGTTATCATATCACCGCAGAAGAACCTCCGAATGAAATCCTTTGCACGAAGGACGAATTCCTACTAGCTTTTGGGGGTTGATACTAGTAGCATTGGTGGCAATGGTGATGGTGATGGTACTAAGTGATAAAGTAGTGGTAGAAATGGAGGAAGAAGGGCACGGAGTAGTAGTAGGGAGTTAGATAGGGGGATGAGGTAGGGGAAAATCCTCCTGCTTTTCAGCAAAACCACCGGCTACGTAGCTGACCAGTCAACCTCGAAACCCATTACCGAGTAGCAATGTTTCGGCTCGCAGGCTTATTTCATAGCCGCAATCGCATCGTAGGAGAAACTCTATCTATCTCTCTTTCTCTTTCTCTGTTCCTGTCTCTCTCTCTCTCTCTCTCTTTCTCTCTTTCTCTCCCTTCTCGAGGATACCGACGACTATTAGCCAGGGATTTTCTCTTTCCTCCAATTTAAATGATTTATTTCGCGCGGTAGAGAAAACCAACGTCGCACGACTCACCCACCTCTCTTTACCTTCCTACGCCGTTTAATATATTTTTTTTTCTCTCACTGCAATAGTAGAATACAATAATAATAATAATAATAATAATAATAATAATAATAATAATAATAATAATAATAATGTGTGAATTGGAACGAACGTCATAAACGTTTAATACTTTGAAAGTTCTTTATAGAATCGAAATCGAGTGAGATTTTATTTTTTATATTTTTTATTGTCTAATATTAAACATACATATGAATATTTGTATCTATGTATATATATATATATATATATATATATGTATATTAATATTTAATTAGTTAGTATCCTTATTATATTTTATAATAATAATTATTATTATTATTATAAAATTTTATCCCGCAAGACAATCTCTCCTGAAGATTGTCGATTGAAATGATTATCTAAAAAAAAAAAAAAAAAAAAAAAAAAAAAGAAAAAAGAAAAAAGAAAAAGAGAAAGGAAGAAAGAAAGAAAAAAAAAGAAGAACACAAAAAAAGCAACGAATAAAATTATGATTTATCATAGCCATTTCTCATTCGTATAAAAAATCGTACAACATTTTATCCATTCTTATAAATCACCGTACCAAGGGCAAATTATTCGAAATGATTCGTACAACGCTATCTTTAGGATTCTCAATGTTTCACAGATATGATTATCAGAATGAAAATCGCATTTCCCTTAAATCGCATTTCTTAACGAAATACTGTCGTTTACAATCGTCATTGTCACTGATGGTATAAAAATATTCGTGTCGGTCGTTTCGGTGTTTCGTATCGTAAGGATTGATTTATGGTACCTTGGTTTCTCAACAACGTGATAACGAATTTTTAATTGCTATGTCCGTAAAAGCGTTCGTTCTATTTTTCTTCTTGTTTTCTGTTTTTTTTCTTCTTCTTCTTCTTCTTCTATCTTTTTTGTTGTAATTTTTTTCTTCCCCCTTTCTTTTTCTTTCTTACTTTCGTTCCTTCTTTCTTTCTTTCTTTCTTTCTTTCTTTCTTTCTTTCTTTTTTTTTTTTTGTTTTTCTTTTCTTCTTTTTAACAGCACGGCTATCGTTCCATTCTTTCTCGTGGCTTACGTTCGCTCGTTAAAACCAAAAGCGATTTCGATTAAATCGACGCACGAAACCGACCACTCTGTCTACGTTCGGCTTCTTTGAATTCGAGATCAGAAGAAATAAAAACGTGAAGAGAAGAGAAAAGAGAAGAAAAGAAAAGAAAAGAAAAGAAAAGAAAAGAAAAGAAAAATTAGATAAGAAAGGAAAGGAAAAAAAGACAAAATAAAGAAATACAAAAAAAAATAATCCAAGTTTAAATACACGTAAATATATGCAAGTAAGTACGTACGCACACATATATATATATATACATACACACACACACACACACACACACACACACAGATATACATACACACACGCGCGTGCATGCATATATACACACGTATTACAAAGAGTAAAGTCAAAAGTTTATTATTTTATAATCCAAATAATATATTAATTTATAAAATCTCGAAAATGAGTAATTGATTGTTATATATCATCTAGAAATTTTTGGCTCATTCTTTTTCTATATACTATATGTATATATATATATATACACGCGCGCGCGCATACACACATATATATATATATATGTGTAATACATATAAAAAGAAAATTGTCGAGTAACTTGGGGTTATTTAATTTGATAAAATCCTCGTGAAATTTTGTGTCCTTTCTAGAATCCGGATGAGAAATCGGGGAAAAAGTAGCGATATTCTCTCTGGTAAAGCACGTCTTTTCCTTCTTATCTCGTAGTATCATCTTAATTTTCTATTACCTACCACCTATGTAATATCCGGCTCAAATTTCGCTCATAGTATCACTGGCATGATCTTTATTGCTAAGGGGAGACTATTACAAGTTGTAACACATATACGCACGCACACACACGCACACCCACACACATACACACACACATATATATTAGAGTAATGTTATCTTTTAATAACGATAAGTACAAAGCTCTGTGAAAGTGTCGAGAAGAAAATTTGCCACTTTCCTTTCTCTCTCTTTTCTCTCTCTCTCTCTCTCTCTCTCTCTCTCTCTCTCTCTCTCTCTTTTATAATTAGTCCGTATAATCCTAAAAAAAAAAAAAAAAAAAAGAAAAAACTACCTAACTGTGCTAAACGAATTTTTTTTTTTTTTACGTGAAAAGAGATTTTTGAAATAAAAAGAAAAAAAAAAGAAAAACAAAAAAAAATGCAAATCGTCCGATTTGTGCGAGTATCGATGAGATTAAAAAAGAAAAAAAAAAAAAAGAAAAAAAAGAAAAAAAGAATCAAAGGTTAATTTTATCCTTCGATTATTCGGAAATATTTTTCGTGCAATTTCGAGAATTTGTCAATTAATTTCGTACTCGTACGATCTATGCGAGTGAATTTAACGCCCTCGTGTAATCACGAGTATTCCCCGAGAATGGATTGTTTTTCGATGGACGACCGCAATGGCGAACGCGTTTAATACCTAAATAGAAACATTTTCGAGAGAGAGAGAGAGAGAGAGAGAGAGAGAGAGAGAGAGAGAGAATAGCGCAATTTTCATTGTATCGAAAGCACTACTAAAATGTTATCTAGGTTGGTCAGTAATATCTATCTAATGCTAATGAATTATTCGATAAATTATTTTCATCTTCTATAATGAAATTTTATTTTATTCAACGTAATTATATTAATCATTTCAATCATATATTATTATATCTTATATTATAAAATTTTAACTTATTATCGTATATTAAATATATATATTGTATATAATTTAAAAAAAAAAAAAAAGAAAATTATAGAAAGAGAAAAAGAGAGAGAGAGAGAGAGAGAGAGAGAGAGAGAGAGAGAGATACTTTTTTTATATATTTTAAATGATTTATTAATTTCAATTATATTATAACATACAATTATCATTGATTACTTGAAGAGAAATAACATCGTTATATTTCAGAATATCATATTTTGAACAATTAATGAAGAAAAACCTTATTACGAATTTTTACGAAAGATAATGTAATTAAAAAAATAATAAAACGTATTCCAATCAGTCTCGGTATTGTTCGTAGAAACAGAAAAGAAAAAAATGAGAAAAGAAAAAATCACTAGATTTCGTAATAATCCTAATGGACGTCTTTCATTTGAATCATTGTATATATTGTATATAATGTATACATATATGATTAACGTGATATATCAAAAGGGGAAAGAAGATATATAAACGTTATATGACATTATAGAAAAACAGGAAAAGTAATAAGGGAACGAATTCGGTGTAATCGAAAAGGATCGTATATATTATCAAAGCTAGGAAATGGCGAATGAAATTAATAAACATTTTCATAGGAAAGGAAAGTGCGAGAACGTTGAGAGACAGACAGAGAGAGAGAGAGAGAGAGAAAGAGAGAGAGAAAGAGAGAGAGAGAGAGAGAGAGAGAGAGAGAGAGAGGTTAAGCGGCCTTTCTGAACCAAAAGAGCATTACAATGCTCTCTCACGTTGGAAGATGCAAACCGGGAGTCGAGTTTCGGTCAAAAGGAACGTCCAACGAAAGGATGTTAAAACCTAAGCAGCTTTTCGTGAGCCGTTTACGATATTCGAAAGGAAGAACGTACATCTAGGGACTTGTATTACTCGTTCATACTAAATGCTAGACTGTCAAGGCTTGTCGGCATTTCATTAACGTGAAAGCTCTTCGTCCGATGGTTAATGAGTAACAAAAACTCTCTTTCTTTCTTTTTCTCTCTCAGAAAGAGAGAGAGAGAGAGAGAGAGAGAGAGAGAGAGAGAGAGAGAGAGAGAGAGAGTGAGAGAGAGAAAGAAAGAAAGAAAGAGAGAGGGAAAAGGAAAGAGAAAAGGAGAAAGAGAGACAGAGAGAGAGAGAGAGAGAGAGAGAGAGAGAGAGATAGTAAGTTCCTTGTAATATAATGATTCAAAAATATACAGTTAAGGAAGTTAAGTATTCCTACAGTAGGAATATAGAAATGCATATTTATGTGTGTATATATATATATATATATATATATAAATATATAAACATATATACGTATGTATGTATAATATATTATATAAGAATCTAGTTATGCTTAAGTCTTTCGTCGTTTCGCAATATCGTTGAATGCGGAGAAACCTTACTTGTGTCCCCCACCCCCTACTTTTCTCTTCCCCCCCCCCTCTCCGCACCCTCAACCGGTCGGTATATTTTCTAGAAAAATATATTTCATCGTAACCCACACATGAAACAAATGATATTCTAGATAAAGTTTTTTAATGATCTAATTTATGATATGTTTTACGATCAATTCCTTTTTTTTTTTTTTGTTTTTTCTTTTTCTTTTTTTGTTTCTCTCTTTGTTTCTCTCTTTGTTCCTACACAAAATTACAAAGGTTAAGTACGAGTCTAAGAAAAAGAGAGAGAGAGAGAGAGAGAGAGAGAGAGAGAGAGAGAAAGAAAAGTAAAAGATTATGTCTCAAAAAAGGAAAGTAATTGATTTTTAAAAGTATCAAATTAAGAACTTTCGATTTGTATGAATCCCCTTACTAAAAAAAAAAAAAAAAACATAACATTGAAAAAGAGTGAGGAGGTCTTGGGAGAGGGAGGGGAAGAAGGAAAAAGGGAATTATCGTCGAAACATTTGTAATTATTTCTTATCTTTTTAATAACACGACGATCGCAGTATCACAAGGAAAAGAAAAAAAAAATAAAAACAAAAAAACAAAAAAAGAAATATAGTGAAAGAATAATATAAGAGAATAAAA